TCCGACTCGGCACAATGTGCCTCTCCTCCAGCAGCTCCTGCTCCATCGGTCCGAATCTCCGCCTCGGCACTTGCCTCTCCAGCAGGCTCTGCATTCGCCCAACCCGCCATAAACCGCCGGGCATCCATAATTCGAGGCACAGCTACCTCACATCGCAACCGGTGGTCAGTCAGTAGTGGAACGACAGCATCGTGCAAATTCCTGACCAGAAGCAGCTGCACGTCCTCGCTCTTGACAGAAATAAAAGCACTGCAGGTTGCTCCGACTCTGTATTGACCTTTGCGAACGATCCTTATCTGCTCCCAGCCCACCAGAGACTCCAGAGGCACAATTGCATTGATCACTGAAAGCACTTCCCCTTGTGTCACACGGAATCTTAGGCCAGCCAGAAAAACACGAAGAGGCGGAGAAGCCATCAGGCTATATGAGGCTTATGCACACTTAGAGTTTTCCCCATCCTTATATTATTAGCCGTGCTTCGGATCGCATGTGCTTGCACACAGAAGTATATCGTCCAACCGGGTTCATGCATGGGTGGGGAATGTATATATAGGTGAAAGTAGAATACAAGCACATACGTACAAAGCTTCAGGGGATGCTTGAGCCATCATTGGTATATTGATTCAGAGCAAGGATGCACATGAACAAAAGGGGTCTGGGGCTAGGTGTTTCCATATCAGACTGGCTTTGAAATTCATGTTTCGCCTATGGCTTCAGAGTACCAGTGTTTGGGTATTATATATATATATATACAGGGATTGAGGGCGAGGCCTTTTGGACTGTGGTTCGGGCCTATATAGTCTACAGGGGTAGAGTTAAAGTTTAGTGCTTAGAATTCTCAGCTGTTATATAGGGTGTAGGGTATATATAGGGATGTTTGAAAAGGCTTCTTTTGAAGATTGGAGCCAAACAAAACCCCGGAGCAAAATCCTAAAAAACCCGAAACTCTGAAGCCCTAAATCCCCAGACCGCGAAACCCTATAAGCAAAGCCTAAACCCTTTGACCCGAAACTCTGAAGCCCTAAATCCCCGCACATGGCCAAACCCCGGATATAACACACCAAAGCTTAAACCCTTTGACCCGAAACTCTGAAGCCCTGAATCCCCAGATCGCCAAACCCCGTATCACACACCAAGTTCGCCAAACCCTGTGTAACACACCAAAAAGCCTGAACCCTTTTTTGACCCGAAAATATGAAACCCTAAAGCCCCAGACCCCCCAAACCCCAACAAACCACAGCCCTGCCCGCACACACGTGTCGCCTCGTTCCTCTTCACTGGCCCCGCTCCAGCCGCCGCAACCTGCCACATGTGTTTGCTTCATATATATATATATATATAGGGTTATAGAGGAGGCTTCAGAAACCCTATATACAGAAATCTGGGTTTGGGGGTGTCCCTTGAACCTTCAACTCAATCCCTATATACACAAATCTGGGTTTAAGGGTTTGCCTTGAACCTTTAAATCAATCAAGAAATGTGGAACCCTGGAATAAACCCCAAACCCAAACAACTCCCAATCCCCGAACCTCAAAGCCAACCCAGATCTACGAAAAGCGCCGACCCTGGTTTTTTGCTTATGTGTATTGTAACCCCAAGCCGTATCAAATCTCTATGAAGGACAAAACCTGAAACCTTAATTTAATCAACCCTAACCCTGAAACCCTGAAGCAACTGCTAGCCCACAACCCATAAAACTATGTAAAGCCTTATCCTTCAAACCCGAGTTCAATATCTAGCACAGCAACCCCAAAAACTATAAAACCCTAAACCTCAAACCTTATGTCACTCCTCCAAAGCACCAAATCTCTGTCAAGGACAAAACCTGCAACCTTAATTTAACCAGCCCTAACCCTTAAACCCTGAGGCAACTGCTAGCCCAGAAGCCATAAAACTATGTAAAGTCTTATCCTCCAAACCCGAGTTCAATATCTAGCACCGCAACCCCAAAAACTCTAAAACCCTAAACCTCAAACCTTATGTCAGTCCTCGGAAGCACCATTCACAGAAGCCACAGCCAACCCTCGAAAACCGCAACCCACACAGACGAGACTGGCCTGGATCTGCACATTTCTCGGAAAAATTGGGCACCTGTCGCCGTGGGGGGTTTGCTGGCTTCGGGTTTCTGACACTGGTTTCTGAAGGCTTTTGTGGTCTCTCAAGGTCTTCTCTCATGGTGTTCTCTCATGGTGTCCTCTCATGGTGTTGTGGCTCTCACGGTGTATGTTCTCTCACACAGAAGGTTTGAAGAAAGCTTGCAGAACCTGGAAAAGGGGAATGGGGTTTCTGGGGTTTGAAGGTCTATGTATGGTGTGGGAGTGCACATATACATATACATATACATATACATATACATATACATATACATATATATATATATACTAGACACACGTGCGTGCTTCGCACGCACTTAGTGTCGGCCTGGTTGCGAGGACTGTCGGCGGTGAGGCAGTGGCAACGCAGCTACGAAGGCTAGTTGACTGGGGGCCAAGACCAAAATTCCCAGCACATCAAATGCTGAAGTCGCTATCATTGAAGGACCGGATAACCCCACATGTGTATTTTAGCGAAGGAGTTGACAGCAATTGCAGAAACAGTAAGTGAGTGAGTGAGCGAGCGAGTGAGTGAGGGAGTGAGTAACGTGAGTGAGTGAGTGAGTGAGTGAGTGAGTGAGTGAGTGAGTGAGTGAGTGAGGTGAGTGAGTGAGTGAGTGAGTGAGTGAGTGAGTGAGTGAGTGAGTGAGTGAGTGGTGGGTGAGTGAGTGATGAGTGGGTGGGTGAGTGAGTGGGTGAGTGAGTGATTGATTGAGTGACTGAGTGAGTGTGTGTGTGTGTGTGTACATGGAAGCACCAAAACAAAAGTGTGTAGACTAAAATCAAGCGAAGAAAAACAGTCATTCATTAAAAAGCATTGATGCACGCACTCATATACGTGTGCTTGCTGATGCATCCTCACCCTCCCCTGTCTCTGCGGTTGTATGTGAAAGTCCGGGAAACATCACAACCCCAAAACCCTATAACTCGACACCGCTTGTAGGCATCGGTCCTAGCCATGCGAGAGGGGGAAAATCAGACAGAAAACTCCAAAGCCAAACAAAGTTGGGTCAGAATCGAAGCCAGCAGGTGCCAGGATGTCGCTCTCGTTTGGTTCGCGGTTTTGTTGGCATCCGGAGTCATGTTATTATCATCCTGATTGGCGTTACAGTGTGTGAGTATCGAAAAATTGTCTTTGGCGACTTTCCTGGCCTGTGTCGCTCTTTGTCCTTACCTGTGTCGCTATGTGTCTCCGTACACGGTCAATGCCTTCTCCGTGCTTACCATGTGGATCGCCGGAAGTCCTTGTTAAAATCTTTTCCGTTTCCTTCATAATCCCTTATATAACCCATATAATCCCTCCTTATAACACCCGTATACAACATATAATTGTTTATTCAACGTATTTGCTCAGACTAAGACGAGGCCAGCTGGTCGAAGGTATCGGCTTCGATGCTTCGCTGGTCTCAACAGAGCCGCTGCTGAATTCGGAGCGTCTGCGGATTGGGGGATCTGGGGTTTGGGGTTTAGAAAGGAAGTGGGGACTGAAGTCGCAGGGTTCGGCGATTGGATGGGCCGATTAGGGGTCACAGTTTAGGGCTAGTAAATATGGACGACGAGGCAAGCCCGCTGCAAAAGGGCCTTTATAATATTAGGCATGTGGACTTGGGCTATGCCGGTGCATGGGGGGTTCAAGACCCCGGAGCTGACCAGGACAGAGCTTGCTTGGCTGGCTCCTGTTTTTCGCAACTATCTGGGAGCTACTATCTTCCCGAGTCTAAAACCCTCTGGCGAACTGCACGTAGAAATAAATAGATAAATAAATAAATATATATATATATACATGAAGACATGCAAGTGCATTTACCACAGAGAGAGATAGAGACTGCAATTTGCGAAGTTGGGCCGGTAGAAAGCAACACGAGAATCAATGGACCAGGTTTATGGATCCATATTTGTCTGAGGTGCCCTGCAGCAGTGCGGCATTGTGCAATCCGCACTTGCCAAACGCAGGGGCCTGAACAAGGAGCAGGGCGACAAGTAGAAGGTCGTTAGGAGGCGAAACGCCCCAGGCTCAAGGCTCGTCACAGCATCCATTTGCGGCTCCTAATGTTTTAAGTTTTAAATGCATGAAAGTAAGGCTCGGAATGCGAAGTGTCACAGGAACATGCTAGTCCCTGTTAGGCGCACACTTCATATCGTTTCCTGGGTTTTATAGGGCATCCGGCAACAACGACCCTTTATAGTGAGCATATTCGAAGAAACCCGCGGGCGGATAGCAAGCCCTGGCGTATGGCCTTTGCTGCTTCGTGCAGGCTGACATGAACATAGGCCGGGCTCCGCCGTACGCCTTGAACCCTTAGTTATAGACTCCTAAGTCAGGTTTCCCTAGTAGATCAGGGTACTATAAGGGTTGTATAAGTGTTCTATGAGAGTACTACAAAAGTTCCACAAAATGACTATAAGGGTTCTTTTCGACTCTACAGCCTTGATAGGCGGCCAAGCTCAGATTGAGAAATGAGCTTTGACGATGAAGGAGCGGCTGATGTCAAACATCGTGACTGTGCCTGGCACCGTGGCAGACCCGGAGTGGGCCGAAGCCGAGCAAAGAGAGATCGACTTGATAGCGTCGGATAAGAATGCAGCGGAGGCGGAGAGTGGCCCGGAGCGGAAGCAGGAGGACGAGGATGGGGTGGGACATTTCATGTCAATGGGTGAATATATGGCTGATGTGGATGCAGAGCAGATTTTGGCGTATCTGCTGCATGCAGCCGGCGATCTTGGAGACATTGAAGAGGTTTCACTTATCCTGGCCACGAGAAGAGTGGACGTCAACGCTTGCAATGATGACGGGGTGACTGCACTGCATGAGGCGGTTAGGTGCGAAAATCTCGACATCGTCAAGCTGCTTCTGGATTCGGGGGCTGATGTCGAGGCTCCTGTCAGTGAAGAGTACTCCAAGGGCCGCTTTCGCTTGAAGACGGCTTCCGATCTGGCAGCGGCCTATGGTTCTTTGCGCGCCTTCAAGGCTCTCCGTGACCACAACGCATCCGTGAGTGCCACGACGCTCGCCAGCCTGCTGCGCGGTGAGGGCCCTCGCTACACTGAGGCTGTTGAGGCGTTGCTGAAACAGGCCAGTGCAAAGGCACAACCTGGGCAGGCCAGACTTCGAGAGCACCTTCGGGTACTCCTCCTTCCCTCCAAGAACTTGGACATCGCTGTTCCGGGTGAGGCAGCGGTTGCTGCCTGTCAGGGCCTGCACGAGCAGAACCTGCTTTATGCTGCTGAGGTGGGCGTGACCTTGTTAGAGATGCCGCTGCTGGCACCAGTGGCATGCGAGAGGATGGTCCTGGCTGCAGTGGCAGAGACTGCCAATGAGGAAATTGTTGCCACTGACACGGTCGACGCTTTGACAGCAGCTGCATGGCTGCAGATGCGTGCTTCAACAGCACTGGACATCTTGCTGATGTTGGTGAGCGTGGTGTGTTTGTGCCTGGTCAGCTATTCCTACCGCCATGGAGGAGTAGATGCCAGGCCGGCTCTGTGGATACTTGCAGTTATCCACACGAAGGAAGCTCTCGAGTGGCTGCTGCAGGCTGCGTATTTCTTCTGGAGCAAATGCTGCGGACGCTACGAGGAAGCCGCCGTGGGTCTGGAATCCCTGGCGGACCTTCTCTACCTGGTTACCGGTTATCTTGCCATAGTGCATCAGATGGAGCTTCAGGAGCTAGAGCAAAGCTTCCTCCCGATTTTCTCTGCCATGGCTTGGCTGAGACTCCTGTACAGTCTACGTGGCGAGCGGTGGTTGGGACCTCGTTTGCTACCCATCCTGTCGGCCGTGAGGGATACCCAGGCATTCTTTCTTGTGACAGTCCTGTGCCTAGCATCGGCGACCCATGCCTACTTCATCTTAAACCCAAGAGGGGAAGACCCACTACCGATATATGCCTCCTTTACCCACACCGTGCGCCTTGGCATTTTTGGAGATTTCGACCTCTTCGAGTACCAGGGACAAGATACCACCTTCGCGGTGGATGCTGCTACAGGTGAGTGGGTGCCCAATGATCCGGTTCCCGATGAAATTGGTTATTCCTCGTTTGTGTACCTGCAAGTCATCTTCTTTTTCACCGGGGTGGGAATCACCATCCTGCTAATGAACTTGCTTATCGGCGTCTTGGGGCAGAACTACGAAATCCACATGGATCGGGCTCAGGTCCTCTTCGTGCGGGCTCGGGCAAAGATGCTGTTGGAGCACCGGGGTCGGCCCCAGGCCAAGATCAAGCGCAGGCTACTGCGCAGGCTGTGCCCAAAAAGGGAGTCTACGGACAAGGTGAGCGAAGAGGAGGTGAGCAGAGCAAGGAGCAGCATGTCCGCAGCCCATTGGTGCATTGCCGTGGTCGTACTCTTGAGTTTCCTGCCAGTCATGCTTTGTGTTATCGGCCCTCAGCACTGGGAGGCTGTTCTGGGCCCGCTGCGCTACAGGGTGTTTCGGCACAGTGCCCTGGCGTTTGTGTTGTTCTTGATTTTCCCCGTCATCCTCGCACTGTCACTGGCATTGGCCGTGCCAGTCGCGCTCGTCTTGGCGAGTTTATGGATCCTCGGCTTTCACATCCAGGGTATGCAATACGCAATAAACTTCACTCTCTTCAACATCTTCGGGAATCACCGGGCTGCGAAATGTACCATCTATGCGATGGTTCGGACAGAGTCGGGTGTCGACGAGCTGCGCGGCATGCGCACCGATCTCAAGGACAAGATGCAGAAGCTGGAGGATGTACTGCAGAAACTGGGTTCTGGTTCAGGAATTTAATCTAAGTTACCATAATAAGGATTCCCTTTTACTTACTATAGATCCCCAAAAAATAGTATCTTCGGTTCAGTTCCTGAAGAAGAGCCCAGGAACCAGCATCTCGCTCACAAGGAGAGTCTGGCCCAGCAGAAGAATTCGAGACTAGGCTGAGATCTCCCAGCAGTACCCTTTTGCCCTGTTTCGTCTTGTTGGGGGTCTCCTTAATAGAAAAGCTTACCAGTAATTCTTACGAATCTTGTTACTACTGTTACTATTACTACTACATTGTGTCGGAACAACTATTTTGCGAAACCGTCTTGGCAATCTTGGTCATCCTGGTCAGTCGGGGGGGAGGGGCAAGATTGCCCCGCAATCTTGCTCCTGCCCCACTTGCTCGCCGACTATAGCTTACCTTTCGGAGACCAAGATTGCAAGATTGCTTGTAATCTTGCTCCCCCCTTGCCCCACTTGTCGCCGACTAGTTTAAGTTTTGGAGTTTTGGATACCAGCATTGCAAGATTGCTTGGCAATCTTGCCTTGCAATCCTGATCCAAAAGGTAAACTAGTCGGCGAGACCAAGATGCGAGATTGCGTGGCAGTCTTGCCCAAATAAATTGTTCTAAATTCCCGGCACACTGACTATTACTATTGCGAGCTTACTGTTGCTTTTTCCTTCACAACTAGTACTAGTACTAGTACTGGTATTAGCACTTATACTTTTACGTACTATTATGATTACGTAGTAGTAGTCGTCGTGGTGGTAGTGGTAGTGGTAGTGGTAGTGCCACTACCAGTGGTATTGGTGGTGGTGGTGGTAGTAGTAGTAGTAGTAGTCGTGGTGGTGGTCGTGGTGGTGGTGGTGGTGGTGGTGGTGGTGGTAGTAGTGGTAGTAGTGTTCTTACGGGGCTATTGGGGAACCTAGGATACGAAGCCTGGAGCAGAAGCTGGACAAGATCCTGACGCTGCTCGCAGGAGAGCCGAAAGCTTCTGCCCCTCCAGCGGAAGGCTAACTCACATTCAGGTCTGCATTATCCTGTTGTAGCCCCTTTTGGTAACTATACCATGTACTGTTTACATACTAATAAAGGTCTGAATCATCCTCTTATGACCCCTGAGTCTGTAACTGTACCATATAGTGTTTACATACTAGAATATACCCCAAAACCCTATTCTTACCTCCCCCCTAGTCTATTTCGGCCCGATTATGCCAGAGTGTGCAGAACCCAGCGTGTACAGGGGAGACGCACGGATGGACTTGTCCTGGAGGGATAGCTGGATCCGTCGAAAGTGTCCATGCCGCAAAATGCGCATGTGCAAAGATGACGCCCCTTTGCCCGCAGGCATCCACTAATAGACTAGCACAGACCGAATGCCGTAAACTAAGTACACAGAGCTTTCTGTGGGCGCCTGCTTCGTTTAGGGCATGGATGTGGTCTGCAATGGGGGTTCCAATAAAAGTGGACTTTAGCATGACCCTAGCAGTCTCTGGGGAGCATTTCCTGGCTTGGGTTCAGGCGAGGCTTTCTTCAAAGTGCGGAAAGCCCAAGCAGTTGTGGCTCCTTGAGGAGCTTCTTCTAACGACGCAGGTGAAGAGCACGTTTGCACAAGTTCCGGCTAATGGGCCTGGATTTCAGAAAAAAGAGTGTAGCTACCCGAGCTGCATGTCAACTAGTTTGTTTGGTTGCTGGGTTTTCGAGTCGTGCTGGAGTTGTGCTCTGTTGGAGCAGGTGTACTGATGTGCTAGCTCTGAAGTTGGGTCCTTCGTGTTGGATTTTGGGTGGGTTTTGCCTTTGACCGCTCCGGTGTTGCTTGGGGAATGTAACTTCGACCCTGGGTATACCTTCAGGGGATCCTTTGAGGGGGTACAGGGCCTTGGGAGTTAGGGTTTTTGTGCGTATTATAGCAGCAGGGCTTAAGGTTTAGATGTTAGGGTCACTTAAGTGAGCCTGGCTCTCAAGCATCACCGAAAACCTGAACCCCTTACCCCAAAAGCACGGTCCGTTAGTTTAGGCGGGTCATGCAGTCAAGCATGCTTCTGACCCTACGTGATGGATGGGCCACATGCGCCTGCCTTCGAACCTTGACAGGCCTCACCTGCGTTGCGCGAGTCCACAAGCAGAGTCTTGCCGACCCCACACCACCCTGCAATGCGGGCCCGTCCTTGCGAAGTAGGAGCCAAAACACCCCAAAAGCAGGCCATTGGCGCCGTCTCGGTGGAGATCTTGAGCCCCGTACTGTATCTGCCATGTTTTGAAAACTCCATCAAAGCCCTTAGATAGATCCATCGCTTAGAGGAACCCATGTCGCAGAATGAAACCCTGTAGCTCCCACTTTGAGTGGACCCTTATCGCCTAATTTATAACCCTAAACCCTAAACCCTATAAGCCCTAAACCCTATAAACCCTATAAACCCTATAAACCCTAAACCCCTAAACCCTAAACTTATGGCCCCCACATTGATCCATCCCTGAGCTAGGAAGAGCTGGGAAGCGAGGAGCCGGAGCTGAAATCGGCAGAATTTAGCATCCGAGGTCCCCCTGTGTAAGCTCGGGTTTAGGCCCACGGTTTGGGGTTTAGGGTTTAGGGTTTTAGGGTTTAGGGCTTGAGGCTAGGGCTTTAGGGACTTAGGGTTTAGGGTTTATAAGGGTTTAGGGAAGCTCGGGTTTAGGGCTTGAGGCTAGGGCTTTAGGGACTTNNGGTAACCGGGTATAGGGTCCAGGTTCTGGAAGTAATTAGCGCTACTTCAGTGTTGCAAGCCTTCCATGGATTTCACTGAAATTTCATGACCGATAGCAAACCAAGGTTTGGGTTTGTTTGGTGATTCGGGTGCAGACCCCTCTGCATATTGTTGTGTTTGCACAAGAGAGAGAGTGTGTGTGTGTGTGCGTGTGTTGGTTGTGCTATCGTCAGTAGCCTAGGACAGAAAGGGATAGAACACAAGTCGTTTGTTTTTGAACCGTTCTTTGCTACTCCGTCTCGCCCCAGCTATATACCTACCCATGAAGCTGCATGCAGTGTTGAAGGGCCTCCAAAAAAAAACAAAACATGAAGACATTAACTTGAAGCCACCCTGCGTCTCGATTTACGGCCCCAGGCCCCATCATGGATCTCTGATTCGGAGTTGGCGTCACATAGCTTAGTCTTGCACCATGTCTAGCACTCCATACTAGCCGGCATCTGCTGGACATTCACTGTGGTCATGGTGACTTAGCACTGTGGCCAGGGACATGGCAAGGTTTGCAACCTGACACTCCGGAAACCATAGAGGAAGTGCCTACCGTTTCTGCTCCCCCACAAAGCCTAGCAAGCTCCTCTCTCTTGCAGCCATGGTCCCCCGAAGCTTTCAAACCCCGAGCTCGTGAGACTTTCGAGTCCTGATGATATGTCGCAAGCGGCAGGCATGACTTGCGCTGCTTGCAGCGGCGCCGTGCAGAAGGCAAGCACGCAAATCGATGGTTGGGTGGGTGTGTTAAACTGGGGATCCAAGCACCTAGTGCACAGGGCCTCGCAGACATGTTAGGGTGTGAAGACTTGACTTGGTGCTACAGCCTTCCAAGCCCTAAATATTTAAGCTGTGTTCATTCATCTTGCCCTCGGCCTTGCGCTGCCGATACCGGCACTTCTCCATACCGGCAACAACATGCCGTCCTTCTCCAGCAAATATTGATAAGATAACAGCTTTCCGTAAGTGCAGTACCCGCAGAGGTAGTAGTAGCAGATACTTGCAGTAGCAATAGCAGCAGATGCTGCACGCGATCTGGAAGGCTTTGGAGAGCATCCCGGGCGTGGAGCAGGCCTTGTCCGGCTTGGTCGCGTGGGAGCGATGGTTTGGAAGGGCTCCTGACTCCTGAACCTGTCAGCACATCCTCTACGCAACAACACTTGGAAGAACCGGAGAAGAGGGCCTTTTGCTTCGTTGCTTCAAAGACTGAGAGAGAGTCACGTTTGACTAAACTCGAAACCTTAGTTCCCAAACGCTAAACCTCGCGAGTGGCCAGAAGGACCCTACATGAACCGTTGCAAGATTGCCTTATAGTGAAAGCGCATGTTTTCGCAGCAGCAGGTCGAAGTGAGCCTTTTGCGTGCCACTCGGCTTGGTCCAGGTTGAGGGAATTGTGGCTTTCGGGCTGTTGGGCTTTGAGTTTGGGGCGTCGGAACGTTACTGTATGCTTTGTGCGTGTCAGGCTCAGACCTCAGTATTCGGAGCTCGGTCCATATATGGCTCGAAGATAACATGATCAAGACATGCAGGGCCAGGGTAACGGTTTTTGCGAATGTTCCAAGTCTTCTAAGTTCCTTTCGGGCAAAGGACACTCCCCGGCCGAGGATTTCGTTTTCAACCAGACTGGTGCAGGAAAGTTCCGGATAGATTAATATTGGAACAGCGGCCCTTTCTTTTTCTCATTCAAGGCCTGTAGCTCCATGTCAAGGTGCCAAAAGGTTCAAGACGGAAGTAGCGAATTCGAACTTGGAGCTCGGCTTACTTCGGAGACCTCGGGCGAAATGGATCCGAAACCTGGCAAGACCCCGGGGCCCGGGGGCGAGAACCCATGGATGCATGGAGGGGTGAAGGACGTTCGCTTTGGTTCAAGCCTTCAGATACGAACCCGGAAGTTTCTGGAGGACCCAGTTGAGGGTTACAGCACCTATAATTCTGAAGATCTCAAAGCTCTAGAGGACTTCGAGCCTTTTTCTGACTTGAGCCAGGAGCGAGCTGATGTCACGTTTAACGCGAATGTTGTCAATCCGGAGCAGCTGTGTTCCGAGATTGAGGACCGCACTTTGTTTTTTGAGTCTTTGCGCCTGCGGCCAGGTGCCGAGGGGGATGCCGAAGCTTGAATTCCCTGACTGCTTGTGCTCACCACAGCCTCCTAATTCAGAACACTGCTTGAATGCCTCTTAGGAAGACTCAACGTCTGTATTTGCAAGTGAGTGCCACATCGCCGAAACCCTACCAGATCGTCGTTGCAGTCCTGGGTCTGGCCCGAGTGCGAGTGTCGAACTTTTGGGAGAAGCCCCCAACCTGAGATTATGCTTTAAAGCATCCCGAATAGCATCCACACCATCCTATCGTAACCATCGGGGGCCGCATGCTTGCTAGATCGTGTGGAGCAATGACCGAGCCGGTCCAAGAATCGATTTACAGAAGTCTGCATGACATCAGCTTTCCTCGAAACGACCGTTTTCAAGTTTCCGGTTCGGTTTCCGGGTTTAGGGCTGCAAGACTCAGACGAAGTCCCTAGCAGCTCTAGCAAGGCTGCGCTCCCATGAGATGTACAGCCCCTCGGTACGTTCGCGCAGGACATTGGTTTCGAAGCATCCCTGTGCCATGCAGCAAATGGGAGAGGCAGTTGGGAATAGTGTTCGAAGCTGGAAAATTGATAGCTGATCCACGGCACTTGAGGGTTGTATTCAGAGAGGCCCCCTTCGAGGTATAGTCCCGCAGGAGAGAGCCTCAAATTAAAACGTGGCTCTGCCATGACAATGTGAAGGTGCGGCTTTGTCTTTCGAAGCAGTGCTGCAAACAGCAGCGTGTCGTCACGTTTCAACAAACGGATGGGTTGCTCCGCCAAACAATCGAGTCGGGGCGTGGAATTTGACATAAGCTACGTTTTTCACGCCTGCGTTTCTGCAGCGTTGTTGTATTGTTGTGTTCCTTCGCGAGTCGTGCTGTTCAAGAAGACCATGCTTCACCGGTACTTTGCCTCGGTATTGGTCTCCTGTTTTCCTACAGCTCAAGGGACCTCGCCCGAGCTCTACCCCGCTTCGGCCCCAAGGCACCAAGTAGCTGAGAACAAGCTGCGGGCTTCTGCTGGGCCGAGGCGGCTACTACTTAAGGGTACTATGGCTCCACTGCTAGCTTTCTTTTCTTTTGGCATCTACAGAGACTACCAGAATTGCAGCCAATGCTGCTGCTAATCATTGCAGCTTCTTCTACAACAGGTGCTACTACCACCACCCGCCATAACGAAGGTGGCTGCTGCGGCTGCTACGATTACTGCGATACGACGATGGCAAGTATAAGCATGACACGATACTAACAGTAGCCAGCACCTCCACAAGCTGTCAACTTAGGCTACTCCTCGTGCTGTGGCTGTTGCCACACACACTTCTTCTTCACGACCACGACGACGATGACGACTGCTACTGCCACTGCTGTAACTACTACGACCGCCATCACCAGCACTAGGAATACTACTGCTGCTAGAGCTGAGCTGCTGCTGCTGCTGCTGCTGCTGCTGCTGCTGCTGCTCCTACTACCCTACTAGGACTGCGAGAACCTCTACATCCAAAACCTTGCATAGTGCCTGCATCCTGGGCATCAGCCTTCACGTGGGAAGTTGACCTGACTGCGGCGGCTTTCTTCCCTCCGGATCGGTAGGTCTCCATGTTTACCTATAGTTCGAGGCTGGGGTCATGCAGGTTTAAATAGTCATAAAGAACAGCAGGACGCACCCCACTGCAAGTTCAGTTCAATCATTCCAGATTCATATCGGAAAAGACAGTAGCTTGGTCTAAACCTGCACTTGGAGACCCAGTACTGGGCCGAATTCACGGTGATCTCTGTCACCCGTACCGTAAGATTCTCGTGTTGCCCGTCACCGAATCCACCCACCCACCAACCCAAAGCACCTTTACGGCTGATTCGTTTGTCCATGGCCTGTCGGTGTGCAGCCTTATATCCTTTCGCAGCAGTCTGGTACCCGTGCTTCAGCCAGGAACCGCCGTGTGGAGCTCTCCGTTGGGGGAATGACCCCCGGATGTGAATTGGAACACGGGTGAAGAGTTTCGATGAAGAACTCTGCTAGGCACTTCTTCGTGGGCTCGGCATACTGGGTCGAGACTGCATAGCTGGACAGCCCATCTCCGAACATTAGTCCGAAGCGCCGCACTCCGCAAGCCTCAAAACACCACGGCCAAGGCGGAATTACAGGCTTATGTCGGCTGGAGACCTTGTCCCGAATCCCTGAATCCCTAACTCCTGAACCCAGTACGTGAAGTGCCAGTTGCTCGGACCAGTAACCTCAGGACATGCGCGGCATGCAGCGGCGCAGTGGAAAGGGCATTGAGACGCTGTCCCATGGCGGCCTTCAGGGACAACGGAAGGCTTAGTTGCCCAAAACTTCTCGTCAGTGACGTCTGTGAACATCATCTGCCGGACGAATTTTTGTAAAGTAAATGCCCCGCAAAGCCTTGCTCTGGTTCGTTCCGTCACTGTTGTCGAAGATGTTGCAGCAGTGTCATGTGAAACGTTAGTTGTGCTGCAAGATTTCTATGCATATTATGCAGATTGCAAGATACTCGTAGACGAAATTAGCGAACATGTGAATGCGCAGCTTCGGCTTTCCGAAGCAGCCTCAGATTTCAGGCGCCTATTCCCAGAAGCCCTGGCCAGCTTAGTTAGCGAGCTGTTGTTGCTGTATGTGAGGTCTCTTGTAAAATAATGAAAAGAAGAACAACAATAAGCGAACAACATACGATACCAACTCACTGACACACCACTGCTTAGCCAGCCGATCTCATAGCAAAGGTGATGGCGTCCTGGAAGTTCAGGCATCTGCCCGGCAGTTGGGAAGACATGCCCTCAAACTTGATTGCGTTTGAGCCATCTTCAAGAGGTTGTCAGGCATGAGGTTTGGCAACTAAACCTGCCCGTAATCTTTGTCAGTGTTTATCAGGTTCCAGGTTCTGATGTTTCTGACCCTTTCACAAAATTGGGTAAGGCTCGGCCGGCGTCTCGTCTTTCGAGGTTGTTCTGGTGCCAAGTTGCGGTGGCATGGAAGTGCAGGCATGCACGAGCTCGGGCAGAGCTACACCTACGTAGTTAGGGCTCCGGGTCTATAGCCCCTGGAGTAAAGAGTAGATGCAATACATGCCTGATACACCTGCAGAATGATTCACAGAACATGCTGGTATCGATTTGACTCGTAGCTGTCCAGGCAGTTCTATTTAAGCAGCTGCATTCGCTGCAATGTATACAAAGCCGTCAGTTGCCGTGGAGGCCATTTCTTGGCTGTGCTTGCAGGCAAACAAGTCAGAGTGTAACTCCTTGTCCGTCGAGTGCGAAGGCCAAAACACAGGACTAGGAGTTTCAACAAGAGGGCCGCAGGGCTCGAGGTTGCTGTTTTCGACAAGGACACACGCACGCACACACACACACACACACACACACGCGCGCGCGCGCGACTGCAACAGTTGCGCCTCGGTTTCTGGTTTCTTTCAACTCGAACCTGCGCAGCTCTCACTGCATACACCCCGGACCCGAGACGCCCAGAGCCATGCAAACCACATGTGAGCGCCGAAAAGTGGGGTTGTTTGAAAGCGAACGTTCCAACCGTTCTTCTTCTTTGTGTCTTGTGATCTGCGGAGGCGGCTTTAAGAGTTTTGGGGCCTGACACGAGGTAGCCGGAACAAGCCCGAAACCCCAAGTCAAGGCGGCCCAAACCGGCCTTCTGCTTGTAACTGAGACGCATGCCCCACCTGGAGAGTCCCAGTGTGACCGCCGAAACCCAAACATGCAGACTTCTTGCTTTCTTGTTCGCGAGGTAAGTCTGCTGTGTGGCAAGGCCGGGCGGTTTCCTACGACATTGTGCCTTCAATGGATGTACAAGGTCCGTCAGTTCGGCCATTCCGATAGTGTTGAGCTTAAGGCTCAGCCGACATTATTCCACACGAGGTGCTGTAGCCTGCCCCCTCCAAGCCGAAGCCGCAGTCTATGCAAAAAGCCTGGAGATTTACGAGTTCACGAGATGCACGCTTCCAGCAGAATTCCAAATCCACAAGAGACAGTTGCAGCGTGAACTCTGCAGGCGGCTAATCACAAACTAGCTACCCCAATGTCGATTTTCAAAAACCGAAGCCTCTCGTACTACATCGCTTCAGCATAAAAAGACACCTTACGTATACAGGTCCCAGCAGCTGCGACACCCTGATGGTGACTTAGCCAAGCTGTGTCAGATGGGTATAAGGCGTCACCCTAAAATTTGCAATGGATGTGCTCGGATTCAAAAACCAACTTGGTTTAAGTTGTTGCTGACCCTGATCAGTCCTCCAGCCCAAGACCCTCGACCCGGACAGCAACCTCTACAGGCCACCCTGGTTTGCAGCGCGGCAGCGCCAAGTGCGGCAGCCTTGGCTGAGGTGGACGACCCACTTTCTCAGGGCAGCGCTGAGTCCCTGTAAATTAAATCGAGTTCTGAGTAGTTCTGAGGATTCAACCGTATTCAACGGGACCGTTTGGGTGTTTAGGCTCCTAGACTGCGGGAGTGCACGAGGCTTCGGAGCGAAGAAGCTAGGAGCTCCCAACAAGATCACTGATTATCAGTAGGAAGTTTAGGATAGGATTTCCTGTGGGGCCGATCTGAGTAACCCCTGAATGAGTTATGTTGGGTTGCTTTTGGAGGTCCGGAGGCACAGGACAAAGGCTGCCGCAACATCTAAACCCTAAGCCCTTGAGCTTGCTCTTCTTTCCAGGAGGTAGATGATTGTGGCTTCGAAGCAACAGTGCTCACAGAGACCGAGGCCTGTTCAGGGAAGGTTCGGTTCATTCTTTTATGAGGCCGCGGGTGTTCCTGGGGAGTGTCATTGCTGACCTGAGGCCACAAACCGGATGGCATCTGCATTCAGCTTATAAGTGCAACGGGGGATTGTTCTTGTTTCTGTGCAGTGGAGCTCCAGTGCTCTCGACAGCTGTCTGGTGGATGCCAGAGATGGGTTGCAGACTCTGTTTTTGGCGATGTACGCTAAGTTTGTTCCAGGGTTTCGATATTGCTTGCTACACGATACCGGGGATTGGTTGTCGACCCAAGTTGTGTGACCCACTCCCACGTCAACATTGTCGAGCATGCTGCGTATTTTACCTTTCATGCTTCAAGTACATAAATCAGAATGGATGGTGTCGTAGTGCAGACCCCTGATCGCTTGACGTACAACAATCAGGATGGATTGTCCTTACATAGACCCCTGATCAAGAGAGGGGGCGGGGTTGTCAGGTGCACTCCGACCGAAGGTCGGAGGTGATAGAATCTGATACAAGCAGATGTCTTGCTCCAATGCAGTCAGACATGAGAACTTCAGTTCGGGGGCTCGTGGCGGGACAATGTGGGCAGCCTCGAGCCCCACGTGAAAGACGGGTCTGGTAATTAAGACCGCTGAATGTGGGGTCGGAAAGCTTTGGGAGAGGTCTGGGGTCGAGGGTTTTGTCTTGAGCCCCTGTTGGGAAGTTGAGACTTACATTTCGAGCTTGGAGGAATGTCAGGCTGGAAGCACAGAAGAAGTGTACTGGCCTGCCAGCCATCAGGGCAGTAAGAAGAACTCGCAAAGCTGGACACCCGAAAGACTCTGCCCCAAACACCCAGACTCTGAACACTCGAAACCCGAAGCACTGCCCTCATCATTGCTTGACAGAGGCTCCATCTGAGCCTTCCCGACGGCGTGCACCGCCGGAGACGGCGAAGCTGCACCTGCCACACGTCGGGAGACCTTTAGTGTCCATCCGTGGAAGCATGGGTACATGGGTCTTGGTTTAGCATCTTCATCTTCATGCGTATGTGCAGCTGTGCAAGTAAAGCCATGCATTCTCACTAGCATTGATATATACCGTGGCGGTGGTTACCCGGTGGTTATGGGTAGCATCTGCACGCGAGCTAGTCTGCTTCGGCGGCTCTGCAGGCTCTGAGAAGGTTGAGTTTAAGCTGAGTGAGGGATCTTCAAGGCTTCGTCTGCAGGTGTTGACAAGATTCAGGCATTTAGTTTCCACTGCTGTGGTTCGCGGATCCAAGCGAAGCTTTTCAGAGCTGCATGTCCTGCCAACCGCGCATCGCTCGCAGAACCTCCAAGTTACTCCCCAGGCCCTGCAATATGGGGTCTTAGGGTTCGGATCCTTCTCATAAAGATAGTATAGTGAATTCTTCATAAGTTCCTAAATATACCCCCCCAGACCCTACTCTTCTGATTAACGTGCTTACAGTACACTGAAGCGCCTGCTTTGACCGCCAGGCCATTAGTCCCAGATCCGGCTTGGCGGTTCATGGCTAGTCAGGACATGTCAGAGCTAGGGTTTTTAGTGTTTTAGGGTCTAGGAGTCTAGGGCAGGGCCGCAGAGCCCTGGTTGATGTTGTTGGTGGCTGGTGTGCTGAGCCTTGGAGCAGTTACTTCGCCAGGCATGCTCGCGTTCTAAGTGCTGAAGTGTACTATCGTACCTCCTGATTGAAAGCCTCATCGTGATTGCCAGGGAGTGATATCTGAGGCAAGTCTGTGGCAGCTCCGCGGCATCTGCAGCATCGAGAGCAGAGGAAGTGAACCTCGGCTGGCAGAACATTTGGCACCCTTTGGGTTCTACAACCTATAGGGTGCCGTATTAAGAGTAGAGTCATATATAGGGTTCTTCAAAGGAACCATGATTTTTGACAGCTACCCCATAGGTGGTTTTTCCAAGTCATGTGTTTTATGTTCAGGGGATTCAACTGTTTGTTTTAGGGTCGCTCATTTTTTGTATTTTCTGAGAACCCCTGCATTCCTCAATGCAGGCACAATTTCGGCTTAGGGTAGCGCGGTGGTTTCTGCGGGTATGACTCTGTGGATTTGGCTGGTCACTACAGAAGTGTTCTGTGGAGCTTGCGTTTCTGATTTTGTATCTTTCCGCGCGTAATCTTTGGTTGCTGGCGAGGGAACTATGCAGACAAGTGAATAGTAGACGCTTTGAGTGCGCGAGATTGTAAAGATTGAGGTCGAATCCAAAACAATTCAAAACAACATGCCGCTTGCCGGCTGCATGAACACGAACCGAAAGAGGCTTGGATCAGAACACTCATTCGGTTAGACCGCGTTGCGTTGTTTGGCGGCTCACCAGCAATCCTGTAGCGGACAACTTGGCACTTCGCAAAAAGTTGCACTGAAACACCCCCCCCGCCCGCCCCCACACACACACACACACACTAATCATTAGTCATGAGAGACCGCAAAGATTTACATGCGTTTCTCAGGCCTGGCGTGATGAGTGTGACTCTCTTCGGTTCCTGCGGTGTGCGCATCATGTATCGGCTGCCGCCCCAGCGGACGAAGATGAGATGGGAGGCTCATGCCAGGATTGCACACGCATGTTGTTTGCTGATTCTTTGGTGAAGAAGATGCCGACGGCATTGCTTATGTTTTCCAATCCTTGGTTTGACAGCCGCAGCCTAACTTCCTAGTAACCCTGATGGCCTTATAGTATTGCTTCTTGCTGCTTGTAGCAACATGTTTAATGTATAATTTAGAGTAACTCTTAGTAACTTAGTAGTAGAGCTCAAAGCCCCAAACCGTCACTCCTGGCTCAAATGACAGTGTCACTCGGTGCCTTGAGCCTTTGCTGCCATGCTCCTTAGCTCTGGAGCCTCTACAGGGCTCGGTGGGCGGCCCCTTTGCTACCATAAGGGCTGGTGTGAGGATTATTATAAGGCTGCTTGTAAGGGCTACGATGACGAGACTGCCATGAAACCGTTTCAGAGTGCTGGGATACTTGGAGAGTTCTGTCGTGCTCTGACTGCGCTGGAGGTAGCTTGGGACTGACACTGCCTTGGGTTACGTTGCTTCGCACTTTCCTGTTGTACCTTTGGCGACCTCACTCTCAACCCGGAACCAAACACACAAAGCAATCGCTGATGTAAAAAAACCCTGTAGCCTTACTGCAAAGCAAACTCCTGAATTGCACTGTCATGTTCTGGGCACGGAGAAGCGAAGAGCTGTCAAGGCCAAGCTTGGCTCCGAAGGGTCCCCCGAATCTATACTCGCCGCCTTCGGTGGAGGCTGGTGGATTTGGAGTGTCAGTTTTCCTCTTGCAGAAGGTAGAGTTCGGCAGCACAATTGTCGGCATCAGGACCCAACAGGATGGATGTTGTTTCGTGAGGTGTATGGCCAGGGGGTAAGGATTCTAAATGCTGTCCGATTGCGAGCAGAGTGAGATTACTTGGCTTCTGGTTACAAGTGTCTAGATGCGTTTCACCTGAGCAGCATCTATGGAAGGGGAGACAGGCGTGGTTTCGCTTCGTGCCAACAAGTCTTCTCTGCTGTAACCCTTGTTGCCATACACGCACACTTAGACGTCCAGCATCAGGCCCGTTCTCATTGCATCTTATTTGATGCCCATTTCAAGCGTCTTTCTGCATTATCCGCAGAACACTTTCATGTTGGGCACTGGAGATCGCGAGCAGGCACGTGGCTTGGGCAGCCCTCAGCGCAGAGGGCGTGCCATGACGCCCGTGATGGCCAGCAAGGTGTGGGCGGAATCTGGTACTTCGAAGTCTGGTAGCTTGGTTCTAGATTCTAGATCAAGACACTAGTATACTTACTTTGGAAGGAACAGCTAGCCACAGCACCTGCTAACGACCGTGTAACCTCAGCGTACGGATACATGTGGCAAGCCATCGATGCAAATCGATGCCTGTACTATACCTCAAAAACACACCCGACCAGTCGTAATTTTTTGGAAGACTATGATTCCATAGCTATCATTGCGACTATGAAAGTCAAGACTTCAGATGAGGACAAGGCTCTAGTGATGGCCTGAGCCAAGACGGACAACATGCATGCGATGATGGTGACGATGGCGAAGAAGATGCCATTGACAAACAGGAGCATGATACCGATGAAGCTGATGCTGATGATCATGATGATGATGATGATTATGATGATCATGGCGACCACGCTGCATCTTGTTCGTCTGCATCATCTCCATTTTTATGTTTTCGGTGATTTCAGCTGCTGAGCGCCCGTGTGATGGTTTTGCTTCGGGAACTGTTTCTTTAGCGTTTTATTGCATCTTGTGCTTGAGCACTTCTGCTCTGGTGCTGGCCAGAGCAATGGTGTGTCGCTCTGCTGCTTCATGTGATGATTTCCAAGTTCCCCGGCGGTGTTCCGTCATCGTCCGAAATCTTAAACCTTCAGAACCTCAGACACAAAACCTGTAAGTGGCTAGATGGCCTAGAGGGCCTAAAACGCACTGCAACCCCAAAGCTCTAAACCTTCATCTCTCGACAGCACTGCCCTTGGAAGGTGGCAGCCAAACCACGCACTTGGAAGGCGTTACGGACCTCGGACCAGGCTCCAAAGAATTCAACTTGGAGGTTTGGGGTTTAGGGGGGATGGGGTTTGGGAAGACAGCCGTCCCCGTGATAATTGTCAGCGATCTCAACATAATGACGTTGATGATCATGGTGGTGGTGAGGGTGGTTTTCCTTTCCTCCCTCTTTAACCTTATTGGAGCTTTCCAATGCTCGCAACAGTAGACCTTGCCCTATTCCTCGCAAGTCGCATCGTCATAGCAGCAGTACGGCCTCGCAGCATAGTGCTGGCAGGAGATGAGGTTCTGAGAAGTTTTAGTCGAAGGTAGAGTACCAGAAGGGATGACCCTGACCGGTTGGTGGCACATGTAAAGGTCATGGATCATGGAGATGCTGGAAACAAGCAGCGGTTGGCATGTCCCAGAATGGCAAGTTAGCAGTCGTAGCCGCCGTCGTTGTTTGTGCTAGTAGCGGCGGCACCAGCATCAACAGTCGGGCTAGAAGCAGTGGCTGCCGTCGCCAGTTCGAGTAGTTGGTGAGTGGAGTGCTGAGAAAGGCAAGTTTTGTAATGCTACATATGTAGCAATATGCTTGGGCAAGTTGAATGTCATGTCGAGCCGTTGAGCCCAACTGTTGCGCCTGCATATGCCTGCAGTGTCACGAGCAGTACACAGGATACGTGCATGCGTGATGATGGCGGCACAAACTGTAATGCAAGTAAAGAAACCGAAGTAAAAGTACCATCCAGCTAACCGTCCTTGCTGTACATTGGCATTTTCGTTTTCGTCGTAGTCAACTAGTAAGAGCACACTGTGGTTCGTATTTGTTATCACAATCTGAAGGCACTGGGACAGTACTAGTATTTTACCTCCCTCGACTCTTACTGTAACCCTAAACCCTCGACCGACCAGGCCGCTACTGTTCTGTTCTTGCTCATCGCCTGCGTGGCTTTCGGGCTTGAGCAGCTGAGTGGCAAATAGAAGTCTGTTGTTCATGCGCATCGAGAACCGGTGAGTTCAACAGTGGGCATTATCTCCTGCATGGCCACCCAGGCTTTTGGGACGCCCGACCTGCGGCTTAAAGCTTTGGAAATTCCCGGCTCCAGAGATCCGGTGCATAGTGACAGGCACCACGTGCCTGATACAAGTCCTGCCAATTCAGTAATTAGCAGGTCTCAAGCCAGAAGGCCCATGAATGGATTACCTGAGGCGAAGTCGAGCACCAACAGTGCGCGGGCTCGTGGTTGAATCGGTGAAGCTTGGGCCAAGATTTGAGGGGGAAAAAATGCGTATGCGCATGTACTTTTATGTCTGAGAGGCAGCCTGGCATGAATGCGATCATGTTGCTTGTGTTGCCGCTGGAGAGATTCAGCCTAAAAGTGGGACCGCACTTGCAACATAAAAATCATAAAACGATCCACTAGGCTTGAAGTGTTGCTTCCGCTTTTCAAACCTTGCTTGCATACATTGCGAAGCTTTCAGAACGAAAGGCAGTGCAAGGGAGAGCCTTCTGCATGCTCAGCCGAAGCAGAGCAAAGCGGAGCACTTGGGCTTCACTTGCTCATGGTGCATCCACAGATTCCCGGAGCTGGAAGCCTCTAAAGAGAGACTGCTACTAATTGCCATGCTGCACCATGCGAGGCTGAAGCATACCCAATACCTTCTCCCCTGCCCCTGAATATCCCTGAGTCCTAGATCCTAAACCTCTACAGAGACAGCCGAAACTCTACAGACCCTAAACTCCAAGCCCTAACCCTTCATTCCAAGATAACAGATTCAAGCAGAATTTAGTCCTATAGTATATACTATAATGTACGATGAGACAATATATGAATGTGTACAATTTTTATGTACGTAATCGCTAAGCCCAAGGAGCCCACGGCATCTCCTGGGTGTTTGCTGGGCCTCCGTCGCCATCATCGGCCGCCCAGCGGCCTCTGCACTGAGGCCGCTTTCTCTCCTTTAGGGCTCATGTTTGGGGGTTTAGGGGCTTATATATATATATATATATATAGATAGGGTTTAGGGGTTTAGGGTTTAGGGCTAGGGTGTAGCTTGCAGGGCTTGGTGGTTATAGGGGGGTTTAGTAGGGCGGAAGTGAAAGATAGTGAAAGGGCCTGCTGCTATGGCTTGCACGGTGTGAGCTGTTGGTAAGTCGGTGTGGAGGGCTTGCAGGAATCGGTCGGAGCTCCGGATGCTTGAGGAGGGTAGAAGATCTGGCTAAAGATGCGGCTAAGCCCCTAGGCTGGTGATCTTTAATCTGAGTGAGCTTGTACCGCAACATGTTCCATGCGATTTTCTCTGCGGTGACGGAACTTCGCATGTCGCAACACAACACAAATTCGAGGTGACCGTTGGTTGGGTAGTCTATGTCCTTATGTTCACAATCTCCACATAATGACCTGCAAGAGGGCAATCTGTAGCCGACAGGCCGACAGGCATGGTCTGAGCATCGAAGCTTTCCGAGGAAAGCCATTGCAACACCCCGTGCGGGCGTGGCGGTTTCGCACGCCGAGCAGGTGGGCCCCTAAACTCCCAAAACCTCCCGCTGCAACAATAAGCAACACTTTGTCGCTGAAATGAAAGCCAGGCCAGGTCTTCGTGTTCAACGCAGATTTCAGGACTTTCTTGCATTAGTCGCATGTTGATACCTCGGCCACGGGGAGGCCCGGTGTGAACCTGCTTTGCCGAGAAGTCTCCTCCATGTCAGTTTCCACCATATCGCAGACGCCCAAACCTCCACCAAACAATGAGTTCGATGAGTTGCCCGTCTATCGGCAGCCGCAGCTCGCTCAGAATCTTGGTTGGCTGAGCCATCAGTCAGCCAACGCAAGGTCAAGTTTCAATCAGAAGTTCCGTGCACCACAACAGAGCTTCGAAGGCTTGTTTTCGATCTCGAGACTTGACCCTGCTATCTTCGTCGTCTTATTTGCTCATGTGCTGCACACCGGCACCCCGACTGAAGCAGTCCACACACTTCCCACACCCTGAACCTGAAATACTGTAACCCCTCCATCTATACACCTGATACACCCTCCCTCCAGGTGGGCGTCACCTCCTTGTTGCAGGGATTGGCCGCTGTGGATCTTCGGACGGATTTGAGACGTTTGTTTAGAGGCTTTATTCGAAGGGCTTTATCTGGGACCTGGTCGGGCTTCTATCAGGGTTTTTGTTTATTCATGGGCTTTCATTCTTAAAGCTAGGGACCTTGTGTGGAGACCTTGTTGTCCGATCACTCCAGTTTGACTTTAATTTATTTTCCTTATGTTCTCAAACTTCCACATAAGAGTCCCGTACAAGTGTGGTCCTCTGGACCGCGCTCGCGTCATGTTGATTAACATGTCCGAATTACTAGTAGCTCTATACCGTTTCAGCCGCCACATAAATTAATGCAGTATCGTATGCCCAGGCAACCCTATCAATCCAAAGCTGGATTACGCTGTGGTTGCAATTTCGACCAGTTGTCCTCATTCTTCAGCCCTGGACTGACTGCTCTTGCTGCTTTAAATCAATGTGTATTCTAACTAGCCCATGAAAACACCTCATGAACCTTCTAAAACTAAGGCCGGCAACCCCAACCCTGAACTGGCGCACTCCTCGTGCCTGTTGCTTTCCGAAGGCTTTCTTGGTGCTCAACACCGGGAGCAGCGTTCAGCTTTCGTTGCCAACGACCTTCTGGATCTGCCTGGGTTGCTCCGCCTTCCTGAATGCCATCATCAAGACTTCAGATCCTCAGCGGGTTTAGTTTGGTGTTAGGGGCTTCGGATTCGTGGGTCTTGGGGCGTCAGAAGCTTCGTGTTTCTGATGGGCCTCGAAGTTTGAATGGCCTTGGCTTTGGTGTGAGCTGAATGCTGACGAGAAACTCAAAGCTACCGATCATCCTCTCAAGAGGCTGCTGAGAAGGCTCAGTTTGCATGATGCTGAGTTCAAGGGTTTTGGGGAAGGAAACGCACGCCTACACCATCGGGGAGATGTCGCTCTGTGCCCCCTTTCTGGCTTTCGATCCGGTCATCCAGCTGGCTGTGGGATCGACACTTGGAGAGCGAGGTTTTAGGTTTTTGTGATGAAGACTCTCCACTCCTCAACCAATCTACTCTACTTACTGCCGGACCATCTCCTGAACTGTTTCCTAGCCCTTCTTGGCTTTTGGTATGTCCGCCCTATACCAACTTTAACTAGCTAGGTGGCACTTCGGGAAACTTTGTAACTTGCCCATATGGTTCCTATAGAGGTACCTATTCACCTATTCATAAATAGTTTAAAGGGCCCCAAAACTACAACCCAGCTAACTCTAACCAGGTTGTTACTTCCGCTGCTCTCATTTTGCTGCCTTGGTGGGGCACCCCTGGAGCCGCCCAGCTACCATTTCCTGCGGCGTCTCGGTCGGAACATCTTGGTTGTTTTGCATGTTCGGCTGTATCTAGTACAGCAGCACATGCGACCTTTGTGACTTTAGCCTACTTTTTGCACATATGGTTTCGATGTCTTCAAATAATAACACCTGTGTTTTTGGTTCCAGAGGTTCGGACATGTGGTGCTTTTGAAAGGACATTTCCATCTGCTGTCTGCTGGTTTTGGCCGAAGTGCGGTTGCAACAAGAAGCAACAATAGTTGCTTTTCTCCAGCATGAAGTGCATATGCAGGCCTCATTATGCACTGATAAATTTTGCATGCAACAAAACAGTGGCAACCGCTGCCTTTTACAGCTTTTGCACCAAAAAAGAAGAGCCAACGTTAGCATATGAGATCGGGGATTGCCAGCGTTAGGAAAAAACATCAATCCGCCTCCTTTCTCATCCGATGCCGGGAGATACCCAGCCTTTTGGACCATTGTCGCAGATGCAAGTTAGCTTGCAGCCACAAACTTGTCCGAAAACGCAAAGCCAAGAAAGCCTAAGACCCTGAAGCCCCAAAGCTTTTCCACCGGAAACCCAGATGTCCAGTCCCTGATCTTCCACACCTCAAACCAAGCTGAGCGCGCGAGCCGAAAATCCCCGTATGGCAGGGCCCGAGTGTGAGAGCGTAAGCGTAAGCCTTTGTGCCCCTGTACGTTTTGGACGGGCTGAGCCGCACAAAGCCAGATCTAAGGAAAGCTGCCTCCGTGGCGTGCATCGCAGCAGGAATGCTGGCTTTGTCCATTTCACGCAGGCATTCACGGGTCGTGATTTCGAAGTCGTACGGATGCTCAAGAGCATCCATCGCAGATTCAACGGCCACCGAAGCTCCCGAAATTCGAGCAGAACAGATGGCAGAGAAGGAAGTGCAAGTGCACAGAGCTTTTTTTGGTGTTTGAGAGGTTTGTGTCAATGTGACCGCTCCTCCGTTTCCTCCCCCTCCTCCTCCTTAGCGTGCAATCTAGTGGCACGAAACCCTGAAGCTCAAGAAGATGTGGTCTCTATAGGCAGCAAACGGTATTGTACACAGGTCCTTCGAGCTGATGTGTCGACAGGCCTTTTAAAGCGAACGGTGGCCAATACTGATTTTCCACAGGCAGGCAAAGAGGGAGCTGCCGAAAGGCGCTGGCTTCATCATTTTGCTGCTCGGAAGCAGGTTGCCTATATTCGAACCGAAGTGTGCGACAAAACGTAACACCCTTCGACGAGGCACCACCGCTGGGGCAGTCTAAGTCTTGAGGCTTCATTGCTTGCTGTGTGTGAGTATTGGCCCTGATTTCCATCCTTTCACGTTGCTAAACCCACTCTTGACCCTTTAATCCTTAATCCCAAACAAAGGAACTGCTTCCTGTACTCCGCGACGTACCGGCTTGATGCCGCAGCGGCCACCCCTCTGCAGCACAAGCAGAAGCCCACACCTGTGCTGTTGAGGATGGCTTGCGGATTGATGGTATTGGGTTCCTGCTGTTTCGGACAGAGAGCCTTTGTACAGAGACTAGCATACAGAGCAGACATGATTCGGATGCACGGGCAGATTCGTTGCTAGGAAGCTGCTACCTACACTGCACAGGCATTGTGCACGCATAGGTAGATAGATTGATTGATAGGTTGACTGATATTAAGATAAATATTTTTGTACTCCACATATATATATACACAGATATAGATATAGATACACACACACATATATATATATGTATATATATGCATATGCGCATACGCATATCTCATACACATACATACATACATACATACATACATGCATACATACATACCCACATACATACATACATACATACATACATACCGTTACATACCCACATACATGCGTGCATAAGTGTTATATGGTGTTATGTGGGTCGGCGAATGTCAGTAGCTTTGGGCGTTTCCACATCTCTTTCTCAAGGTGGGTGTGACCAGCAGCGTTTGCTACTTCGCCTTTAGTCGCCTCCTTATGGCGGCAGTCTGCTTTGCCGGGACATTGCTCCAGACAAAGGACCTCGAAGCTCGGGCTTGGGACTCTGGGGGATGTGACTTGGGGATGAATTAGGATTTAGGGTGTTAGGCCTTAGGGTTCGCGGTTTAACAAACCAGCAACATTCCCCGGGTGAGAGGTTCCGAGTTCTCGGAGGGACAATCCTGGTTAACGCTTCACTTGCGAAACAATCATTAAATCGAACCTAACTTTGTTTTAAATAAGGCCAGGGAATCTCTAGAGCCAGTCTTCTGATCTATATATACTTTCGGTTTAAGCCGGTTTTAGAATGGTTTAACATCTAGTCATCTCTAGCCCCGGATACAACAAACTTGCTACCTAAGGACGCAAAGCTGGATGAGTCTTCGGCGAAGTCGGGCGGATGGGACCGAAGAACGGCCACTCGACACCCTGAGCTAATCCGGCTCTACAAACTCTGTCTCTGTGCTTGGTTTCGTTTAGTTACAATAGCCATCAGACCATGAGAGAAAACTCCTAACAGCCGCAAGGTCACGCTGCTCTTGTTCGTGTGTATAGTGGACGCGGCGTACATGCTTTCCATGTACCAGGCGGGATGACGAGTCAGCTTTCTTAACAGCAAAGGTCCCCCCCCCCATAGCTCCTTGGACTGATTCTGGTTGGGTGTAAGTCTGCAGTTGTGGCGTCAGAATATGGATGCGCGCCGGTTCTCAAAGCCACTCCCATTCTTCATAGTTCATCTCAAGCAACCTTTAAAAACAACGGTTCCACCGCAAAACCGCCCACAGCTCGGAGTCACATAGTGTAGTTTTCAAAAAGCCGCTTCTTGAAGGGCCTTAACATTAGATTTCCTGTTACTTTGCAGGTAGGGGGTGGTTTAGAAACCAGTCTACCTGAAGCATGCAGCCCATCAGTACATCCCGGCTTATGCAGCTGATCCCCAAAAAACCCGGGCTATTTCTGCCGCCGACTGCAAAGTTAAACGCACGTGCCTTTGGGCCTAGCGAGCTAGCGAGCCGAGGGCTTCTGAGATAAAGTAGGAAAGGGTTTATACTAGTAGAATATAATAGTCTATTACGATAAAGGAATACAGTCATAGAATATGCTTTTGCAACTATAGTGTATTGTGGTATAGGATTTAGGGTTTAGGGTGAGCTCAGTTCAAGCCTGTGGAAAAGGGTTTATGGTCGAGCTCCTTTATGCCCAGTTGGCCATCTAAGCCCTGAGCTTTCAGCAGGCCGTGTCCTTGATCTCGCCAGTCCTCGTCTCCGCCGTGAAGCGTGGTGGGGGCTGCATGTCCGAAAGGATTCCGGAAGCCGAAAGGCAGTAAAGCTTGCGGGACCCTAATCAGTAAATCCCAGACCCGGTACTGAACCAATTCAGGCTGAATATTGGAATCCAGAATGGTCACAAAGCCGAGGACCTGTATAACGTTCGCAGCATGCTTGCTGTACACTCATCTTGTACGTAGCCTTAGCAGAGCCCTTATAGTACCTTTAAATGAGCCCTTCTAACCTCCTTGAAGCTGCCCGTATGGTAGCCCTAGTCCCTTACAGGAACCCTTTGTTTGTGGTTTTGGCTTGTTTCTCAGCATTAAAACAGAGGCGAGCCTCATGAAACCTTGTCACACAGGCCCACAGGCATAGTATCGGTATTTTGCTCGAATGACTCTGCTTGGTGGCCGTTGTCTATGCTAGGTTCGAACCATCTCCAAGCCCGAAGCCCTGAACCTCAACAGCTGAGGCATCGTTGTCTCAGCGCTGCACCTTGCCATCAGTTCCGACGTGTTCTCTTTGTTCACAGATTCCGTCTTTGCAGCCTCTATGACAGGAAGTCCGACGTGTTCTCTTTGTTCACAGATTCCGTCATTGTAGCCTCTATGACAGGAGTCCTAAGTGTGCGGAATCATATGTTAAGCAACCCAAAGGCACCCCTACTGAAAGACATGTGCAGGGACTGCAACACTGTAACGTATGGATCTCAGTTGGCTGTGGTCCATCTTTGGTTGATTGGTACTGGCAGCCTGCGGCGGGGCTCTGGAAGCCAACTAAGGTTTTCAGAGCTGACACTGTCGGGTTCGGGATTCTGTACTACTTGGAATTCAGACTTTAGTGCTTGGACTTGGGATTTTAAGTCTGGTATGATCGGGTTCTGACATCCAGAGTCAAGTGCAGTAGGCTGCCGTCCGAACACCACTGGCCACTCACGCCTGCCTAAGTTTCGGCGCGCTTTTCTTCGGAGAGAACTTGTCGGGGAGGAAGCCGCTTGGCCAATGATGAGTCTTTCGAAAAGCAGAACCGAAGCAACGAGTTGGAGAGGGAGGGAAGAAGGCAGAGAGAGAGGTTCTCACCCCTTCACAAAAAAAAATCCGCAAATCAGCGGGTGCGTTTGATGCCAGCGGGATGCCTAACTCGCCCCTTCAGCCTGGGAGAAGTAAGAGAAGGAGATAGAGAAGAAAGCACAGACAGGTAAGCTCTGTGACCTGCACTTTCCCGAACTGGGATTGTGGTTTTGCATTAGCATAAACTCAGAGTTGTCTGAAACTGAGGAAACTTCTCTTCAGCATTGCTGCTGGTGTGACACTGCTCTGCCTCTGAGCAGTATAGAGTAGGAAGGAGTAGTAAGGACCAAGAGTCCTGGGAGGATGGCACCAACTAGTGCATGTACAGGCATGTACAGTGTCTCTGTGTCTCTTTGTGCGTGTGTGTGTTTTCCTGGAGAAGAACGGTGCTTTCAATACGATGCGACTGGCAGAACTCGGGGGCTCTCAGCAAGCTAAAAGGAGACAGACCCGATTTTGAAGCTGAAGATATGATTCTCGGTGCCTCCGCGCAGATGCTCCTTTCTGGTATCTGCTTTCGGATGATACCGTTTTGTTCCCAGTGAGATCTCTCACATGTCTGTGCCTTTGCACATGCCGGTTCCGGAAAATTTGGGGATGTTCTGGCAGAGGGCTCGGTCGCAGGATCCAGTGAGAGACCTTCCGACTATGTTGTGATCGCAAAGAATCGCAAAGAGCAGGCCCTGCGAGCACAGCATGTACGAGCCGTTACAATCAACTAAATTTAGTCAGTTTGAGTGATGCAGGGATCTTTGGGGTGCACAGGGTCTCAGTTCATTCATTCTTCAAGCTCCAATCCGACATCGAGTTGCCACATGGATCTTGCGAAGCCGGGCGGTCGCCTCCCCAGAGACTCCAAAACCCCTTAAGCCTGCAATATACCTTTAAACATTGAAGGATCCTCGATTTTGAACTTTTTGATTTATACAGCGTATAGTCTCTCTCTCTCTATATATATATATACACATATATATGTATATATACACATACCTAAGCCATGAACCCTAAATACAGCGAAGTCCTTAATCTTGAGCGTTGGAGCCTCTGGGTCTGTCCTGTCACGTACATCGCTACATGCAATTCACCAGTTCGTGGCTTCGCGGCATTGCTTGGCACTTCCTGCCGAGGTTCGGACCTGAAGCCGAGGTTTCGTAAACACTCAGGATACTGAAAGGTTTCGTATTTATGTATGTAAGGGAAAGGTATCGTATTTATGTATGTAAGGGTATACAGTGGATCAAGATTTGGTGGAGTGAGTTTGGTGGCTCGTCCACGAATGGTTCAGGCTACCCACATGTCTCTCAAGGAGGCCAAGCAAAGCAACCGCAAGTTTTGTGATCGCTAGTCGTCTGATGTTGGCGCCACTACCAGTTCAGCTTATTTGGCAGATCGCAGACGAAAAGCGCTCGGTGCTGACAGAGCTGATTCGTCTTTTGCTTTAGGAGCATGGTAGCGCTAATTACACGTCTGGGTGCGTGTCGGAAGCTCTTCCGCATAATGATGTACCTTGCGCCCATGTCGAAGTATCACAGTACCAGTTGCATCACCGGCAGACGATGTTCCGAGTTCGCAGTTAGCTTGCATGCCAACACGCGAGAAGCAATGTACAAGAGTTTACATGTAGTTGATTTTTTGAGTGTGAAGCTGTGGTGTCTCCACTTCTGCCATCCACGGCGCTGATATCTCACCATGAGGTCTCCCACCCCACTTGAACCCCAAACCCTCCGCCCCTGCACCAAGTCTTGGCGCGGGCCTCTCCACCATCCAGGTCTGTGGTTTCATGTAGTTCCGATTTCGGCAGTGTGCCTGAGGGCTTGCCTGGTTCCGGGAAAATGATTCATGGTGCAGCGTTGCCAAGCCCCCCTCTCCCGGCCCCAGAGGTATGGTGTCGCCCGTTCCCCTACGGAACCCAAAGCCGAAAGCTCTGAGACATCCTATCCCCATCCCAACGCCCAGTACGCCCAGCCCTGTACTTGCCAAGCCCCGTGGAAAATCTCGAAGCCAACAGGCTAAGGGAGGTACCAGAAAAACAAAAAGGTCACAGATCACAGCTCTTAGAGCCCCTTAGCGCAACCCTTCACCTTGAACTCTAAGCCACCCCCAAGCAACCCCCCAAGCCCTACGCCCCAAAAAGCCTGAAGCCTTGAACCGCGGATCCTCATGCCTTCATCTCCGAACCCGAAGGCTCTTATAAGGCTAAAGGCCCTCAGACCTCAAAACGTAGAGATCGCCATGACCCTGGTAGAAACCTTCACTGACGTTGTAGCCTCATATGACACCTACAGAAAGTCTCCAAGTAAACCCGCTATTCTAAGCATGAGGGCCCCATCCTTAGCATTGAGGCCCGAGCAGCTGAACCCGAGAGACTTGGTCTCTTCGCTTCAGAGACTGGGCCGCAGATTGGGGCATTCGAGCTGACAGTCTCTCTCCTCTTCCCCAAAAGGTTTCAGGTCTTCAATGAGTTTGGGTTTCAGATGATTTTGGGGGTTTGGCTCAACCGAATAACTGGTAACTGAACTCTTCTGGAAAGATCTATCCCATATGAGAGGAAAACCGAGAATATAAATCCAGAGTCATTGAATCCGCTGCTCACGCGCGCCCCTCACGAACAACAGGCGAATTGGGAGCATACCTTGCTTTACGACATGTAATTTCTGGATCGTTTAGAAGTGAACTCCGTACAGGTTGTGATGCCAGTTAGTGATTGGTTCAGAGCCCGAAGAGAGACTCCAATGCCCTACACAGGAAGCAGGGATTTGCCATCGAGCCGGCGGAAGCAGGAGATGTCCAGGCCAGAGTTTCAGCATGCTTCAGCAGCTAGCATGGAAGTATCCCGTCACAAGGCCCCCATATGAAATTAGTACGTACGCGAGTATTTGCACATATACCAAACAACCAGATAATTATAGATAAATACTTATATGTACAAACAAACAGCAGTAGGAGGAGGCGGAGAGGCGAAGGAGGGGGGAGGAGGACGAAGCGGAGGTGGAGAGGCGGAGTTGTAGTCGTTCGTAGTCACAGTGAGAAATTTCGAAATCAAAGGAGGAAGAAGCATGTCAAGAGCTACAACGCCATGCCTTCGAGCTCAACATGCAGTGATTTTCAGAAGAGGAGTCGCCCAGAGATTCGCAGATTGTAACGTTCACCTTAGGCGGCTCGCACCAGAGCAGAATTTAGGGTAGGACTTCATGGAGTTCATGTCGTTTCACGCCGAAGCAATCAGTGAGTGTGGTAAGGTGCCTACAT